CGTACTCCAGAGTAATATTTTCATTTATCTTATTTCTTTCATGTGGGGGATTGTTATATATTTATGGTATAAATATAAAATGTGAAAGAAATAATCAAATTAGATAAAGTGCCAAAGTGGTGGGAAATGTGACATTTGTGTGGGACGTCAGGAGTTCGAATCACTCCCCACGCAAATATTAAAATGTCTTTATTTGGGCCTTGGGGCCTTGGGCTTCCTTGATTAAAATAAATATTTTTTTTTTCATTATTTAATGGGTAAAACTAGCCAGTATTTTATGACTGTTTGTTTTTGTAACAACCCACTAACTGCCATTAAAACACCCACTACTCAGTCATTAAAATTCTGCATTAACATGGTGAAGACTGTTACTACCATCTTGCCTATATAAACCCATATCTTGCTTTGGGAAAAGACACACAAATAGAAAATAGAATCAATTACTCTTTTCATATTGTGAATTTCTTATATTTGGGTTTTTATACCTATTCTGGAGTACAATTGAGAGTTCTAGAAAAACCATTCGTGATTGCTGCATAAGTGGTTTACGATCGTTGTATTCTGGGAGTGATTGTCCACGGAGGTCACAGCAATTATTGACGGGCAATTTCACTTTAGGACATCGTGTTGTCACGAGACTCGATCGGACGATAAGTTTTATATTTCTGCATTATATTGTTCTGATCACTGCTGCAACTAATTATTTTTCTAACAATATACATATATTATTCTCAAGAAGTTATTACGAAATAAAATTGTAAAAAGAAAACTCAAAAATAAGGATAAGCGTGTTGGATACAATTAGGCCATCTCTGGTCACCATTCATGGCTGGACACTATCACATAATGCTCGTTTATATGGTGTAAACTTTGTTATATACACAATACAATTGTGTAATCATATAAACAAAAGTCATGCAAATTATGCATATAAAAGTGACGAAAGATTAGGTTGTTTACCAGATAGACCTAATAATCTCTCTCTCAGAAACCACCGTATTATCCTCAGACCAACCTAAAATCTTGCAGAAGTTTCTCTCTACACACGCAACATCTATATATATATATATATACACGCACACACACACACATATAAGACACAGAAACCTTAAACTGTCTTCTGGTGGCTTAAAAAGGTTTGATGATATAAAAGACAACCTAAGAAGTTGAAGTCATTGTTTTGTTTCTTTGTGTGGCTTTGGAAGAAAGAAACTCAGTTTTATACATTCAAGTATTTTTATACGATTGAGCGATTGGTGAAGAATTCAAGATGTGGGCCAGATTTAAAACCTCAAAGATCAAAAAAGGTTTGTTTTCAAAAACATCTTTCATTTTATAATTATTGGGTATGAAATTGCCTGTATTGACTAAGGATGTAGAAAATTGAAATTCTGAAAGTGGTTTGACAAAATTGAAAATAATTGTGTAATTAGAAATTAAGTAGCTCATAAATTAGCTGTTTTTGATTTTCTTCTTCTGCAAAATAAGAGAAATAAGCAAATTAACCCTTAAGCCTTGTATGATTTATTTTTTATTTTTTATTTTTCAATTTCTCAATGATTTCAATTTGGAACTTATTTTTGTTTTGTACCATACTAAATTTTGATTTCAGACAAGAAACAAGGATTGAAAGAATATCACAAAAGTCTCAATGTCAATGAAGAGTATCTTGGTGCATTTAGAACAAAATCCTATGGGGATTTCTTCATGAAAGCTCAATTACTAATAAATGAACCCTCATTACGAGCTAATCACTGCCATAATGGTTTCTTAGAAATTCTTGACCCTGGCCATGAAACTATAGCACAAGTTCTTGAATCAGCAATCCTTTCGAGAAAGTCGAATCTCAAATCCCTTCTCTTCAATTACTTCGATATGAGTGCCGAAGCCTCGAAATTCTGCAGCCAACTTCTCAAAAGCATAAATCAAGTTCAAGCTGACTACAAATCTATTTATCAAATTATTGACACCATTGATGATTATTCTTCGGAGAAATTTCACTTAGTCGTGTCTAAACTCTGTTCATGCATCCTTAATCTCAAAAAACAAGATTTCAAGCGCATCCACGAAAAGTACACATCAATTCTTCAGCAACTTAAGTCAAGGCGAAAAATGGTGACAAGGAAGATTAAATTGATAAAATGGTTCAACAAGGCATTCGGGGTATGTGTGACATTAGCCTGTGGAGTGGTTGCTGTAGCTGTCATGGTTCTAGCGGCGCATACTCTAACCGCGTTACTTATGGGGCCTGTGATATTCAGCTTACCCATGAAGCCATTAAAGAAAAAACTTCTTGATATCCAATTCTTCAAGTATGGATTCCTAAGGAAAAGTGGAGAACAACTTGATGCGGCTGCCAAGGGTACTTATATTTTGAACATAGAATTTGACACTATGAGTCGACTCATGGTTCGAATTCAAGACGAGATTGAACATAACAAAGCAATGATTCAGTTCTGTTTGGATAGGAGGGAAGATAAGTTTTCTTTCCAAGTATTGAAGGACCTTAAAAAGGGTGAATTTGAGTTCAAGAAACAAGTGCAAGAGCTTGAAGAGCATGTGTATTTATGTCTTGTCACAATTAATCGAGCTAGAGCTTTGGTGATTAAGGAAATTGCAAAATCTTGTATAAAAAATTCAATGCACTAGGCATTTTTTATGCATTGTATAGTCTGTAAATACAATTTCTTATGTAAATTAACTACATGGTTGTTAGTTATTTGAAGTGAAAAATAATTTTTTATTTTGGAGAATATGTGATTGAAAAATGAGTTAGAGAAAAAATGATATCTAAATAAGCTGTGCCAAGCAAACACTAAGAGTGTGTTTGATTCGCATAAAAATTATCACCAAGAAAAGAAAATGTTTTCCTTCTTTTGTGGAAAATAAAAATCAGCTCCACCCAAGGAAAATATTTTCCTTAAAAACAAGAAAAATTAGACATATTTTAAAATTTTGGAAAATGTTTTTCATGGAAAAAAATTAGCAATCAAACACCTCAAATAGAAATTTGGGTGGAAAATTGATATTTTTCATGAAAAATAAATGTAATCAAACGCACCCTAAGTATAATTTGAATAAGAAATTATTTGACCCATTAAAAACTTAAATTTTCAGATAAATTAGTTCGTCATTCTACTGAATTCAAGTCTTGTAATAATCTACAAATTATAAAAATTAAATTGAGCCTTCTCGCAAATGACGTGATTCGAGACATTGTTGCATAATTCAAATATATATATATATTCTTTTTCTTGTTTTAAATATGGACACTGAGTATTTTATTTAGTCGTTGAAAGCTGGGAAAGTCGTATAAAAAATCTTTGTAATGGCTTATAATCGTATGATTGATTGATTGATTCAATAAATTCACCAAACAAATGTTTTCTGTTTTGAATATTCTTTGATTGCGATGCGGACGAACGTCATTACCTCTACGAATTACCAACCTGTCAAAATCGAATCTCAAGCCAGCCCGGATCTTGCATGTGCCAACTAGATAACATTTCAAGTCATTTATTTTTTCTTTAAATGCCATGAAATCATTCTTCATACAAAATAGCCACTACTTTTGTGCGACAGTCAGATAAAGGTTTGCTTTTCAATTTCACACTTAAAATCTCAAAAAAGAAGGTTTATTTATTTATTTATTTTCAGTTCTGAAGTTAAAATTGGCCGTGTATCCAGTTCTGAGGTGTATAATTGTGGTAGTTGGGAATATTTTAGTATGTTATTTCCCAAGAGAGAATTTTGCACGTCTGTGTTTAGCTTAATGGACTTTTCTTGAATTTTCATTGCAAAAGCTCTCAATTCTTTATTCGTTTTAGCCACCCTTTACAAATTGAATCTTGAATATTTTGGTAATATATTTGCGCCAACACATATTTCCTGTACCTATATGAATAATGTTGACCCCAAAAAGCGTTGTCAACAGATGTCGGTTCCACCCGCGTACACGTGGACTAATGTTCAACACGTTAAGACACGTGGACGGTCTAAAATGAGCGGTTCATAGGGCGTGGGAGTAGCCCAACGACGTGGGACGATGACGTTCTGAATCCGACCAGTTGTTCGTGATCCGATTGTACAATAATTACCAACCGGTGTTGGTCGATGTATATGTAAATGTGTATAAACTTGATTTGTATATTGCAAGTAAATGAGAGAGTTGAGTAAAGTGTATTTCTTTGTATTGATTCTTGCATTAGCCTTTTGATGTTACACAAGGGAAGTATTTATAGTGATACATGTGAAATGGGAGCCCTTAGATGAGGTGGCACGTGGTCTCATTTCTTTGATTCAAATATCTTATCCTAGGTATGAGGCTTGACTTGCTAGCTTGCTGCGCATTTATTGCTTGTGCAGAGCCTCCATACTAGTGACAAGACTCGACCTTTATGCTTATGACAAACGTTCCATCAATCATTCGAATAAGATCTTTGTGTAGGCGATATCTTGGGAGAAGTGACCATGGAGGATGCTCCCTTGTGGTTCAAAGGCTCCTGCATCGGCTTCGGGGTTTCGGCCATTTCATACAATACTTCCACTTGAGGGCTTCAGCTATCTTCAACCAGTTTCAGCATCATGGCATCGGGTCATAGGCCTCGGCACGTGGACCTCGGGTACATTCACAGGCCTCGGTAAAAGGGAGCCTCGGCTAGTGGACTTCGGCTTGAAGGGCTTCGGCCATAGTCCACCTCGGCGCTCTACGCCATCTCGACTGGAGGGCCACGTGGTTCGCCCTGAGTGGGCCATTGGCCCAGGTATGTTGGCCAAGTATGACAACACGCAACAATAGTTCCCTAAGTCCAAGTATAGATATTTATATCATGGTTGGAGTTAGAGATGTGCTGCTGTAGGTGAATGGTGAAGAAACCGAGGCTGTGTTGAAGGTGAGGCTGAGGTGGTTGGAAAATCGAACCTAGGAGGCTTGTTGGCTGAATGTTGAAATTGAAGCCGAGGTGGTTGAGAAACCGAACTTGCGAGGTGGTTGAGAAATCGAACCTGCAAGGTGGTTGAGAAACCGAACCTGCGAAGCTTGTTGTTTGAATGTTGAAGTTGAAGCCGAGGTGGTTGAGAAATCGAACTTGCGAGGTGGTTGAGAAACCGAACCTGCGAGGCTTGTTGGCTTCATCAACCGAGGCTCAATGGTAATGATTGTGCATCGATAGCTGTGCCAATGATTTGATGTTTTGTGCTTGTTTTCGAGAAAAAGTGGCTGGTCCGTACGACTTCCAAGGCACCTGCTACCGTCGAATTAAAAATACAATTATGAGGACAGCTGGAGGTTTTAGAAGCAGACGCGTTGGATGGGGTGCATGGGAGGCACCTTTGAATCTGAGGCGTAGGTTAGAAAAATCGTTCGAATTCAACGCCTCGAATTTGATCTACAATGGAGGGTTCAGATTGACTGAGTTTCGATCTAACGGTTGGGGTTTGTCCTGGACCTCTATAAAGGGTAAGAAAATCCCATTTTTTAGGACTTTTGAAACTTTTCAATTCGATTCTCTCTCAAATTCATGAACTTTCCGGCGTCAAGGCTGCCTATTTTTGATTTTTCGGCTTATCTCCGTTCGTAGCGTTCTTCTCTTAGGTATCATTCGCAGAAAAACCTTATTTTCGTTGTGTTTATTCTGTGAAATGGAGTCCACCTCGGGTAGGGAGTTAGTAACGGTTGCGTCATTAGATTACGAGGTCAGTCAGGGGGGCATGTCGAGGCTGATAATTATGCCATGACTGAAGACCCAGTAGATTATATTGAAGAGTGGGGGGTGTCTAGGGTGCCCTCAAGTATGACGTGGAAGAGGTTAAGGGAGATTAGGGAGAGATACAGTGTCCCCCACACCATAGATATGCTAGTCCCCGAGCCAAATGAACGGGCCTGCTATCCGAGGTCCGGATGTGTGGCGATCAGTGAATACTTGTTTAAGGCAGGTATGTGTCTTCCTCTGCACCCCTTCTTTAGGGCGGTGTTGAGGAATTTTATGTTGTCGCCGACCCAGGTTCTGCCAAATGGGTAGAGCCAGTTGGTCGGCTCATACTTCCTGTGGAAGGAGGTGTCACTTGGGGAGGACATGTCTCTCCATGTATTTATGACTCTTTTTCAGCCTCGGATCATTGGGAAGGAGTCTAGGGGGTGGTATTATCTTACACATTGGGGGCTCACGCACCCTTTGTGGTGGGGCTGCCTTCCTCCATTAAGGGGTGGAAAGAGTCCTGGTTCTGGGTGCAGAGGAAATGGCAGGCAGTGGAGGGGGACAAGGCCCTTTCTTGCACAATGCCGACCCAGTACTACGAAACTCGTGAGTCTCCCAGCCCCTGCTTGTAATTCTGAATTGAACACTAAGAAATTTTCTAACTGTTGGGGGTTCCATTGCAGATTGTAGTACGAGGTTCGAGCTCAGCAGGGAAGAGTTCGAGGTGATAGAGGACATCTACAAGAGGCCTCTGAAGCTCCGCCACTTTGACCATCTGATTGATCGGAGTCGCTACTTTCTGGATTTTGGGCTAATGGCTTCTAGAGGTACGAGGCTCCCATAGTTGTAAATTTCCTTGTGTTTTTGATTGGACATTGATGTGCTGACCTGACGCTCTTATGCAGATAAATTCAAGAGGAGGGAGTACCCAGCTCCAGACATGGCTACAATTATAAAAGCCACCACCACCGCCAAGGCTAGGGCCTTGAAGCCGGGGTCTAGCGGGGCCAAGGAGGTCCGAGGCAAGGTGGAACGCCTTTCTAAGGATAGTACTCCAAAGGCTTCCAAAGAGGGAGCTTCCCAGAGGCAGGAGAGGCCAAAAGAGCCTCGGGGGAAAGAGAAAGTCCTAGAGGAGGCGAAGAGGAGGAAGCTGGTGCACGTTACAAGCTCGTCCGGGAAATTTGGGACGTCAGTGTCCCACGATGCCAAATCGACAGGCGAGCCCAAACTGCTCGCATCTGCCTCCAAAGCCATCAAGTTAGAAATGGTCAGAGAGGTTGAGGCTGAGGAGGCCAGGGAGGAGGCTGCGAGGAGGGCTACTGAGGTGTCAAGGAGGAGGCAGCTAAACAAAAGCCTATTCGGGAAAAGGGGAAGTCTCCAAGCTTCCTAGCTGGAAGGGAGGAGACCTTGGCCCCAGCCTTGGTGGAGGCTCTTCCCCAGGAGGTCCGAAGCGTCACGAAGAACTTTTACTGATTCTGGATGGACAGTTGGCAGCTGCATGCCTCCTTCTGCGATGCTACCGACCTGACGAGGGCGTTGGTGAGCCAAAAGCGTCAGAACTTTTGGCCTCGCTCTTGAATGCAGGGAGGCCCTGAGTGATTTTCAGACAAGGACCAGGTCTTTGGAGGAGAAGATGGCCTCCCTTGCAGAGGAGTTGAAGGCGACTAGGGCCGAGGTGGAAGAAGCCAGGGCCTAAAAACTTGAAGAAATGGCCAAGCTGGAGTCTGCCTTGGCCTAGATTGAGGCCTTGAAGAAGGAGGTCCACGATTCACAGTGCGAGGTGGCCTCCCTTACAAAGAAGGTGGAGGTCTCCAATGAGCATCAGAAGGTGATCGCCGAGGCCCTAGAGAAGGCTAATCTCTCTTTGACGGGTGCCCAAGAAGCTTACCATTTCATGGAAACCCAAGTCAAGTGGTATGTGGATGATGCATCCCATGCCAGAGAGGAGGCCCAACAGGCGAGGAAAGAGGCG